GATGAAGAGATTTTAACGTTTTGTTCTACGACATAAAATACGCCAGTAAATACCCCACTGGTGAATTTAAGTGTCTAAATGAGACGACTAAACGTCATCACGCCCAACATTAGCCTCCTTTAGCTTAGCGGTGGTGACGTGAAGTCATGTGACCGTGCTGTAGTTCCTTTATAGCCCAACATTAGCCTCCTTTAGCTTAGCGGTGGTGACGTGAAGTCATGTGACCGTGCTGTAGTTCCTTTATAGCCCAACATTAGCCGCCTTTAGCTTAGCGGTGGTGACGTGAAGTCATGTGACCGTGCTGTAGTTCCTTTATAGCCCAACATTAGCCGCCTTTAGCTTAGCGGTGGTGACGTGAAGTCATGTGACCGTGCTGTAGTTCCTTTATAGCCCAACATTAGCCGCCTTTAGCTTAGCGGTGGTGACGTGAAGTCATGTGACCGTGCTGTAGTTCCTTTATAGCCCAACATTAGCCGCCTTTAGCTTAGCGGTGGTGACGTGAAGTCATGTGACCGTGCTGTAGTTTCTTTATAGCCCAACATTAGCCGCCTTTAGCTTAGCGGTGGTGACGTGAAGTCATGTGACCGTGCTGTAGTTCCTTAATAGCCCAACGGTAGCTTTTTACTTGCATTTAAGCTTCAAATATCATTATTTAGCCCCCAAATCTTTGTCTGATTGTAGGTCAGGTTGTTCTCAGTCAAAATTCGTAAAATACAGCAGATTGGTGTGCGGCCCTATGCATCAAACTGTGTATTGTTTTAATACACCTGTGATTTTCCTACACTCACAGATCTCCTCCTGGAAAAGCAAAACATTCCCTTGTCTCTGCCAGCCCGGACAAAAATCCAACAAACAAACACCAAAAAGTACCCCAGGTAAGAAGCACAGCAGAGATGAAGGCTGACATAAACTACAGACAGACACCACATGTGAAAATTATAAGATTATAAGAAAGCTGGGTTATTTTGACAGGCTTTCAATGTTTTAAGTCTAGCAGATTCTTGACGTTGAGTCAGTTCATCTTTTTAAACTGATGTGTCTGTACATTTAAATTGTGTCGAGCCAGTAGTAGGATTGAAGAGGAGCATGTGGGCATACTTTACACTTTAAAAACGCGTTAGCACCTCGCTAATCTGTGTAATTACAGATGAAAAGGAGGAATTATATAGTGACTCAGTAGCTCACTCACACACACACACACACACACACACACACACACACACACACACACACACACACACACACACACACACACACAAACACACTCACTTACAGTAGTGCAGTACATTCACACATGAGCATGACCTCACTCTTAACACCATGCAGTGTGTGTGTGTGTGTGTGTGTGTGTGTGTGTATGTCTGTGTGTGTGTGTGTGTGTGTGTGTGTGTGTGTGTGTGTGTGTGTGTGTGTGTGTGTGTGTGTGTGGTGTGTGTGTGTGTTCACCATGATGACTAATTCATCTCTTCATCGCTCAGCCGCTCGCCTCCACTGCTTTTTAGAAATTGCACTTTTACCCAGTTTTTCATTGGGCGTTTAGAAAATACCATTAGCCAATCAGGTGTCTGGCTGCTTCTGTCTGACTGCTCTTCGCCCGGCGACCAAAAGAAACCTTTTAACAAGGTTTAATGTGTGATTTAGGGTTGACTAGAGGGGGCAGGAGAAGAAAGCAGAGGGAGGGGGAGAGGGATAAAAGAGATTGGGTGAAAAATAAAGTGGGAGAAGAAGAAGAAGAAGAGGGTTTAAGAAAAAACATAAAACAGAGACAGAGAGGGAGATAAAACGCCTTTATGAGCGTTGACGTTTTTATGAAGCAGACAGACTCTGTGTGGTCTTTTACTCTCTTTATGGGGTCTTGTGGTGTCTGGAAAGAGAATTAAGTGTGTATTGATTTTTCTGTCTGGCGCCCCCTGCAGCTCTGCACTGGTATAAAGTGTGTGTATTCAGTAAAAGATAAGCCACAAATTCTCCCTATAGCGCCAAATGTGTATTAATCTGCAAGTGACATCACTGTGTAACACTCGCACTGGTATTGGCTAGCGCTCCAACACATTGTACGTGACATCTGTAAGCGGTTGACCAATCACAACAGAGCCGGCCAGCTAACCAATCAGAGCAGACTGGGCTCTGGTTTCAGACAGAGGGTGAAAAGAGGTGCTGCAGCACAGGCAGTATGAGAAAAATAAAGAGCTGTCCCAGTAGAGACACTACATACTGATATACACCTGAACATCAGCAGGAGAGGACTCTTTAAAGTAGAGACACTACATACTGATATACACCTGCACATCAGCAGGAGAGGACTCTTTAAAGTAGAGACACTACATACTGATATACACCTGAACATCAGCAGGAGAGGACTCTTTAAAGTAGAGACACTACATACTGATATACACCTGCACATCAGCAGGAGAGAACTCTTTAAAGTAGAGACACTACATACTGATATACACCTGAACATCAGCAGGAGAGGACTCTTTAAAGTAGAGACACTACATACTGATATACACCTGAACATCAGCAGGAGAGGACTCTTTAAAGTAGAGACACTACATACTGATATACACCTGAACATCAGCAGGAGAGGACTCTTTAAAGTAGAGACACTACATACTGATATACACCTGCACATCAGCAGGAGAGAACTCTTTAAAGTAGAGACACTACATACTGATATACACCTGAACATCAGCAGGAGAGGACTCTTTAAAGTAGATACACTACATACTGATATACACCTGAACATCAGCAGGAGAGGACTCTTTAATGCAATGTGTTGTTCTCTGTATGCAAAACAGCTGCTGATATTATGAAAGAAACAAATCCCCCCTCAGGGATCTATAAATAACTATAGCCTGTATCTTCAAAGTTGTCTGTACATACTTAATAATTTACTGTGGAAACAGTCTGACCAGTAATTGGAGAGCAGTGTCTGCAGAAAGAGAGAGAGAGAGCTGTTATAGTTAGTGGAAAAACAATCAGAGTGAGATGTCTCTGTTTTCTTCCTCCCTTTTATCTGAAGCACGGAGATCGTTTCTTTCCTGCAGACAATGTCTCTCTCTGTCGGTCAGACGAGGTGACATAATACATGATATAATACAATATAAACCTTGGGGGTAAAAAGGAAAATAGCTAAATAAGGGGTATTTATATGAAATTAAATATAAAAACTACGATTAAAAAACAATCATATTAATCTGTCAGAAATATATGAGATTTAATAAAATAAAAAACACCTATTTTCACTGTATATGTAAGCATTTTGTATTGATCTAATGCTATATATATTACATATTATTATATATTTGCAAAAAACAAATTCAAAATCCATTTTAAACAGAAACTCTCAAGTTATTCCCTTTTTTATTTTTTTGTTTACCTTTTTTATCTCTTGATGGTGTCCTTGATCAGTTTGTAAAACAGACACCGAGAATAAAAGGATACAATAAATTCAAATAAATGAATAGAAATAATAATGATATTTTTTTCAAATCAACTTAATACAATTAAATGATAGAAAAACCAAAAATGTAATAAATTAAAGTTTAATAGTCTTAATATATACTGAAAATATCTTATATAGTTGATAAATTGTCGATAATGATATCTGAACTGTTATTACTTATATATTTCTATTGTGACTATTATTTATTTGTTTTTATTGTTATTGTTTTTTAATGTGATATTTCAATTCTTTGTTTGTTTATTATTTTTGAATGTTTTTTACGGGGGGGGGGGGGGGGATTATTGTAATACATTGACAACATGCACATTTTGCCGGTGTGTAATTCAAAATTGCTATGTTGTTTACGAAAAAGTACAAAAAGTACAACAAAATAATAATATGAAATGTCAAAACTCGGAAGTGACATGTTGACTCCTCCCACTTGCATCGATTCATGCAATCAAATGCCGGGATCTGGATGAGCTGGCATTAAACCCCGGAAGCAGGAGGTGTTTACAACAGGAAGCTAAGCTAACTCCAGTTAGTAGAGAGTTTGAAGCTCGTCAGAAGAGCTCCGTGTTTCCTGAGTTTCTCTGTGTCTGCGGGAATAGTCTCAGGTAAGTTCACCTGCTGACTAACAACTGGTGCTATCTTAGCAAAGCCTGTGACAGCTAACATCTGCTAACTAGTTTAGCTTGCTAACTTAACGCCAAGTTTGTAAACTTAGTAAATCAAGTTGTTAGCAGACATTTCAACATCACACATTCCAGAGAAAACCCCAGACATGGAGACACAATTTATTACATTATACATGAATATCTGACTCAATACAAAGCAGGAATTAGACGGGGCCTACAAGCTAAGTGGCTAATTTCCAGGAAATACACGGAGACATTCAGCTATTAGCTCAAGTAATTCACGTTTTTAAAAACCAAACTTGGGTTTCCTGTCAAAATCCAACAAATACACGTTATTAAAACCTGTGTGTTTGAACTTGATATGCTTAAATCTGTTTGACTCAAGCTAATAGATGTACCCTAAACGATATTCACGTGGTGTGCAGTTGATGTAGTTCAATATGTTTTAGCAATGGACGATATCTAAACACTATTTTAGCTGTTAATAGAGAATAAACAGGTTTTACATGTTGCCTGCCAGGTGTGTCGTGTATCCTTATTTAAATCACCTTTTTAAGGACTCAATCTATCCCTCTAAAATAGAAAAATATACGTTATTTTGTTCCACAGAGAAAGAAAACTGTGAGAAACTAGTTTATAGACATTGATTATGCTACTTGTGTCTTAATGTGTGTTTTAATGTACAAATTAAACCAAAGTTCAGTGTGTTTCTTCACTGAGATGTTGGCAGTGTGTTGCAGTGTTGCATGACACAGCTGCTGCCACACCCACCTCACTGGTCAGCTGATCCTCCACACTGGCTTTAGTTAGTTTAATTCAATTATATGTTTTTTTTATAGGCTTTTAGCAATATGAGTGCCCTACATATTTTGCAATTTGGATTCTCCGACAGTCGCTCAAGAATCAGAACTGTGATCTCTTTAACTTGAGATGTAGTACCATGTATTTTATCTTATGAATGTATTTACCAACTTAAATATTTTGACTTGTAATGTTTCTGTTTTTGTTACCTAGCAGTGCTGAGGGATTATGTTTGATTTACTTTGGCATCTTGTATAATATACTGATAGAAATAAACAAATAAACAGATGTACAGAGAGGCAGTCGTTTAAAGTGGACCTATCATGCTATATTTGAATAATATAGTGTAGGACCATACCTATATAAGGCATATTTATACTTTTTTTTTTTTGCAAAATATCAAACAGATCATGCATTTTAGCCATGCCTCATTTTGCTCAATTTGACATTTTTTAGCTCTGTTTTTGTAAGGGCAGAACAGCACCATCTAGAGGCCTGGCATATGTACTACAGCGTCTCCAGCGCTTTCGAACGGCAATGGCCGTGGCTGTCTCCTCCTGATTGGTGGAGTTGGCCCAATAGCCGTAGCGCCACCGTCCTGACGTCAGGACAGTGTTCAAATCTGGATCAGTTTTTATCAGATCCGTTGCAGCCCCTTTTTTAGAGATTTGGGTATGGAGGAAAATAGAGAGGGTTGTGTTTTCTGACACTTGGTGAGTTCCCTGGAACACCGGGGACACATATTCATGTATAAAAGACGTACAAAAGTGCATTTTGCATGATAGGTCCCCTTTAAGCAATAGCTCACGACAGGCGGTGATATGCTCATTATATCACAGCTAAGGGGCGTGCTTCGGCCGGACGCGAAGCGGAGTAGTACCATGTATGTATGAGTAGTACCCATAAGGCTCCTACTGGCTCCTTATGGGTACTGCAATTTGTGAAGTCCCGGCCCAGCGGCATTCTGGTGCTCTCCGGCAGAACTGCACCCCTGTCAGACGAGACATATACCACGTGATGACACGTTAGGCTCGTGTTGTCTTCAAGGACCCTGACCTTGGCCAGGAAAAACAGGCACTCGCTTGTTTAATTATGTTGTGATCTAGATTTCTTTAATTTTTTTCTTTTTTGCGTGTGTCTTATAAATTACCTCGAGGGCCGTACCAAATGGTCTCGCGGGCCGTATACGGTTGAAAAGTAACTACAATTCTACCCGTGGTATACGCTCATTATATCACGGCTAAGAACCAATCAGATTGCTTGATTTGACTTGTCCGTTTTATAATTGCTAATAACATCTTAGATCTCAGGGTGATTCCAAATATGTTCATTAAAGATGTATTTAAAAGAATTAGAATCTAATGGGTAAATTAATGCGGAAATTCATGGGGAGTATACAAAATAAAATATTAAATATGTGTGGTGTACGGTTGCAAAATGCATGAACTGTAATGTAAAAAGGATGAAGTGAATTCTCTAAAAATGCATTTGAAGTAAATCTCAATATAATGGAATATGCCATCACGGTTAACTTGTATATTTTTCTACTCTTTAGTTCTGTTTTTTTATATTTTTGTTAATTATTTCTAATCTTTTTAATTTCTAATTATGTGCAATGCCTTGTTTAGTTTTGTTATGCTGCTGTAGCAAAACAACAATCCCAATAATATTGGAATCAATAAAGTTGATCTTATCTTTATTTTATGAGCTCTTGCCCTGGATGATGAAACTGAACCAGAGGTTAACTTTAGTTTCAGCTCAAGTTGGTGCATCTTTGTTCTAATACTATTACCCATTTACAAAATCAAGTTTTACAAACTGTTGCTCTCTGAAACGTCCAATAATAAACTCATCACACCTGGCCTCTAATTATCCTCTCGGCTTCTTCTCGATTTAAGTTGTAGTATATCCTGCGTGTTGTTACAGCTCAGTGTTTGTTTTCAAACCTTACGGACACATTTCTGAAGCTGCAGATATTTGTGAGCATTCGGCTTTTCAAACTTAACCCTTATGTTGTGTTCGGGTCTCCCGTGACCCGTTCCAAGTTAAAATTATATAATAACTACGCTCTAGTTTTTTGTATGGGAACGAGGCTTCATGATATCCTCCACCACAGCTATTTAAACACTACAAAACTGATTTGGACAATTTTAGCCAAGTCTGAAGGTCTCTAAAAAAAAAAAAGGTGTATGATTTGGTGTTCGGGTCTGGGGAGACCCGGCAGCATGTTGTGGGTCACTCGGGGTCAAATTTGGCCCAATCAAGATTAATCTTTGACTTTAGACACCCCAGCCCCTCCCCCTTCATCCACTGTAACAATCATTTTTCGCAACCTGCACCTGGGGTGTTTCTCAATCTCGAGTACGCTTGCTTGGTAGCACATGTCTTCCGAGCGTCTTGCTTCAGAAGCGAGGCAAGAATACTTCCTGGCATTTGGAAAACAAAGAGTGGAACAGGCTAGCAAGTGTGCAGGTGTGCGTCATATGAGAGGCCCCGCCTTACATTTTCCGCCACAGATTTGGGGACATTTTGCAAAGCATTGTGGGGATTTTAAGACCGTGGAGACATGTGCAGCCTCGAAATTTCTCCAAACGAAGTACGCCGGTCTCGGTAGAATTCCAAGTATGCTGGACATTGGAACAGTCCTTCGGCGGCACTCGATGACGTAGTATGCTTGAAATAGTGGCTCTGGAGCAGCTTTACTCAACATGAGAAACACCCCTGGTCCCCCCTCCCTCTGCCCCCTCCCTCTGCCCCCCTCCCCCCACGGGAACTCCACCTTTCTCAAAGAATATGTACACTAACACTTGAACTTGAACACACATATGCACATGTGCAATATGTGGTGTAATGTGTTTTGGGACATAACATTAAATTACAACAGGATTGTACGGTTATGAATGCATTATAAGTTAGTTATGATGTAGTTAAAACAATATTGGATGATAGTCATTTTTTGGTTGTGTTTTGGACTGAAATAAATCATGGGTCAAAACTGACCCGCGAACACCATGAACGGAAACAGCTTTCAAACACAACACAAGGGTTAATAATACAATGATAAGGGATGGCTTTATGTCTTCTATTTCCCTCTATTCACAGGATGGTATTCAGACGGGCGTAATCATCTCCTGTAGAATAAGTCAATATTTCTGTTGCTGGTCTTTTATATAACATTTGAATATATCCAGAATATTTCATATTGCGTATTATCTGTGTTAATGTCTTCTCTACTGTAGATATGTTTCCATTTGCTAGTCATTGTTTTTATTTTATTGTCTTTAATCCGCCTTTTTTAAATATTGTAATGCCTGAATCTAATTGGTCACACTTTTGTAAAGACATCTCGTGCTCAATAAAACTGTAGCCATGTATCGTTGCACCCAAAACAAATGAGAATAAGATGCATGAAAACGTAAGAAGTACATATTGATTGGAGCTGAATTAAAAGCAAGCTTCTGTGTTTTAATTCTGCTGCTGTTTTAAGATTCAAACATTAATGCCAGGTTTGTGTTTTGTTGTCAGGAGTCAGGATGAGTCTGCAGTGGACCGCCGTCGCCACCTTCCTCTACGGTGAAGTCTTCTTCGTTCTGCTGCTCTGCATCCCCTTCATCTCACCCAAGAGGTCGGTGCTCACCTGTCCATTTCCACACCTGTCCATCTACACACCTGTCCATTTACACACCTGTCCATTTACCCACTTGTCCATCTACACACCTGGCCATTAGGGCTGTACTCGAATATTCGTTCGTTGGAGTACTATTCGGGTTTCAATTTCGTTATTCGGATATTCTTTTTTGCACTGCGTCTGCCAAATTGAATTTATTGAAAACTCCAATATCAACGTTAGAGCTTGAGCCTCTTCGGGGGGTGCTAACACTTAACCGTAAACGTTATCATTTACTTTCTCCGTCTTTATATGTAGATATGACTTTTTCTCCGTTAATCTCAGGTATTCGGGACAGCCCTACTGTCCATCTACTCACCTGTCCATTTACTCACCTGTCCATTTACTCACCTGTCCATTTACTCACCTGTCCATTTACTCACCTGTCCATTTACTCACCTGTCCATTTACTCACTGGTTCCTCTGCTCACCTGTCCATTTACTCACCTGTCCATTTACTCACCTGTCCATTTACACACCTGTCCTCTGCTCACCTGTCCATTTACACACTGGTTCCTCTGCCCACTTGTCCATTTACACACCTGTCCGTTTACACACTAGTTCCTCTACTCACCTGTCCATTTACTCACCTGTCCATCTACACACCTGTCCATTTACACACTGGTTCCTCTGCCCACTTGTCCATTTACACACCTGTCCGTTTCCACACTAGTTCCTCTACTCACCTGTCCATTTACACACCTGTCCGTTTACACACTAGTTCCTCTACTCACCTGTCCATTTACACACCTGTCCGTTTACACACTGGTTCCTCTGCCCACTTGTCCATTTACACACCTGTCCGTTTCCACACTAGTTCCTCTACTCACCTGTCCATTTACTCACCTGTCTTTTGTATTTATTGTCAGAATGTTTCTGTATCCGGCAATTTTTTTTCAGACGTTTTGGTAGAAATTGCTGTAAATTTGTCTCCGACATGACAACAGGCTACACGTTGTTTACCTACCTTTACACTGTTAGCAATACATCCAAATGAATCGATGTTATCTGTTGAATGTCGTCGTGCAATGTTCATTCATTTGACTATAACTTTACTGTATTTTGTATTTATTCATTCTAAAAGGGAGCGCATGATGCATGACTCGTACAAACCAAACAATTGTCTCTCAAAACACAGATGTTTGAACGCCTTGAGTCTTTTGAGTGTGACTTCTATCAGGTTGAGTTCAGTATACTATGACAACTCAGTCGTATTAACAGGGCTTGAATCTGGGCCTGTAATCATAAAGCTTTCTAGCACAAAGACTGGCTCCTAGTGACACATTTCTAAAAAAAGAACATCTTAGAATTGTTACGTTATCGAATAATCTTCTGTTTTACTTTTAAGACTAGATCCTGATGAAGAAAAATGTTTTATAACCGACATTTCAGACTTGAAGTGAGCTCCTAAGGTGAATAAATGTTAGGAGTAGTGAAGACTTTGGACAGTCTTATGAGTTGAAAAAGCAGAGGAGAAAATGGCCGAAAGACAACGGGGTTTAAGAGATATTCTCCAAAAGCTTTATTACGTTGAGTTAATGAAACGCTACAGATTAGATCTTATAGGGAGATTGATTTCAGTTGATCTGATCACACCCACAATAACTCAACTAAAGTGATCATTACTCCAACGTCTCTGGCATGGATTGAGTACTACAATTACCAGCATTGGGAAATCAACATAAGCTAACAACTGTTAGATAAGATAAAAGGTACTTTATTGATCCCAAATGTTTGCCTTGCAGCAGCATACAAAACAAAACAAGGCATTGCACATGTGTAGAAATTAAAGAGTAGAAATAAACAATACTAGAATTTTAAACATCTCAAAATAGAATTTGAAAAGTAGAAAATATACAGTAGACCGTGAAGATAGAAAATCTATAAACTCTGACGGTAAAAGCATGTGATTAGGATACAGCGCAAAGAGTTGTATTTGAAATGTACATTGTGTAAGCAGGTATGGCTTCTGACTCAACAGATCGTCTCTCAAATAATATTAACACACTATTCCTTTTTATAGATACTAAATTATATGGTTAATCATATTGCTGGAGCTGGTCATTGTTGTGTAATATTTCACAAGTAAACATTTATTTTTCTTCCTGTTTTGTAGAGTCATTTGATCATTATAATAATAATAATAATAGCTTGGATTAATATAGCGCCTTTCATGAGACCCAAGGTCGCTTTACGTTCAAGGTTCTTTATTGTCAAACTAACATAGCTACAGAGTAATTATGTCGTTGAAAATCTTATGTCACAGGCTTCTCCAACAATGCAACATAATAATAATAATACAGATAGTAAAGTAATACAAAAAGAAAAATAGTTCTAAAATAAAGTGAGCATGTGGAATAGTGCAGTACGAGTCTATATACAAGTTATTGGAATGATATATATTAGATATATATATTACTAAGTAGCAGATTAATGTTTTGAAATTGTTTCAGTTCAATTGTTTAACAGTCTCTTACAAAGAAGAACAGGAGTAGGAACATAACAAAAACAAAAGGCAGTCAGACAAAGGGGGTGTTTCTCAATGTCGAGGACGCTTCCTTGGTAGGACATGTCTTCCGAGTCAGGTCCTTCCGAGGCGAGGCAAGAATCCTTCCTAGCCTCGGAAAACGAAGAATTGTGGAACAGGCTAACAGGTGTGCGTCATATGCGAAGCCCCGCCTTAAATGGAGCGCGATTTCCGCCAAAGATTTGGAAATTGGTCCGTGCGCAAAGCATTGTGGGGATTTTAAAACCGCGGAGGATACACATGTGCAGCCTCGAAATTTCCCGCAACGAAAGACGCCGGCCTCGGTAGAATTCCAAGTATGCTGGAGATTGGAACAGTCCTTCGGCGGCACTCAATGACGTAGCATCCTTGTGGCTCTGGAGCAGCCTTCCTCGACATTGAGAAACACCCACCGTCTCACAGACAAAACAACAAATAGATTAGGGGCCGAAGACCTTGGCAAACAGATGGGACTTGAGGGCCCTTTTGAAGGCGTCAAGCGAGGGGATGTTGCCGATCTCTGCAGGGAGAGCGTTCCAGAGAGTGGGGGCTGCCACACTGAAGGCTCCGTCCCTGAAGGTTCGCAGGTTGGTGCGGGGGGTGGTAAGCAGGCCAGAGTCTGAAGACCGCAGGTTCCGGGGTGGGGCATGTGGGCGAAGGAGGTCCGATAGGTACTGGGGGGCAAGGAGGGACTTGTAGGTGAGGAGGAGGACTTTGTAGGCTATGCGGGACTTGACCGGCAGCCAGTGGAGGTGGATGAGGGTGGGAGTGATGTGCTGCCACGGCTTTGTGTGTGCGAGTACCCTATCAGCACAGTTTTGAGTACATTTGAGTTGGTAATGCTTTTTATGTTGAAGGCATCTTCAGGCACTGGGTGATTTGGTATTTATTAGAGACAGGTGGAGGAGTTATTGGCACCGGAAAGGCATATGTTTATTTATGAGGGAAAGGGATTACCATTGTTAAAGTCTGCCCTTATTCTTTGTCGGCTTCATAATTTAAACATAAGGAAAATAAATGCCCAAATGAAATAGTTTCCTGGACAATAGATTTGATTCTGTGTAAGATGTTCTACCTGGTGCCTCGGCTGCAGTTTGATTTGAAGTCCAAGAGAAATCTCCTCTTGGCACATCTGTCACTATTTATTTTATTCCACTATTCAACTACGAGTGCATTTAATTATTTCTTATTGTTTTATCGCCCAGTCACACCTAGCAACGCGTCAACCACACCTCCACTCAGACTTAAGTGTCTCTCCTTTTCTTGTCATCATAAGCTTCCTTTATCATTCCTAAACTACGACGCTCTGCTAGACATTTTCAGCTTTCACACAGTTTGTGAATGTGGTGTTTGAGCGTTCGCTGAGAGTCAAACGGTTCCAGTTGGATTGATTTTAAACAGTTATCTGAAACGGAGCCGCTCTGTGTGAAACAGATTATAACCGACCTCTGATTAACTCACAGAACAGACACGTCTCTGATCCCAGAGCTCATGTCAGCAGGTTTTTATCACCAAAATATCCCCAGAAACTCCTGAGGGATGTTCCGGATTTAAAGTAAATATATAAGAGACATCCATGGGTGTTTCTCAATGTCGAGGAAGGCTGCTCCGGAGCCACTATTTCAAGCATGCTACGTCATCGAGTCCCGCCGAAGGACTGTTCCAATGTCCAGCATGCTTGGAATTCTACCGAGGCCGGCGTACTTTGTAGTGAGAAATTTCGAGGCTCCGCGGTCTTAAAATCCCCACAATGCTTTGCGCACGGACCAATTTCCAAATCTTTGGCGGAAATCGCGCTCCATTTAAGGCGGGGCCTCTCATATGACGCACACCTGTTAGCCTGTTCCACAGTTCTTTGTTTTCCGAGGCTAGGAAGGATTCTTGCCTCGCTTCTGAAGCAGGTGACTCGGAAGACATGTGCTACCAAGCAAGCGTCCTCGACATTGAGAAACACCCCATGACTCAGTATCTGATTGTACAAAGTCTGACGATTCATCAGAAGCTGCTGGAGAATGAGTGGTTCGATTCAAAAGTAGACAGAAACGCAATATAAGGAACTTTTGATTTGCTAAAAGGGACTCCTAGAACAAATAAGGAGCCACTATTTCAAATCTTATCTCGACTGCGACTCCCAGATAAAGCTCTCAAACAAAGTAGAGAAAAGGTTTGTTTTTATAAAGTTGTGAACATATTAAAAACAAACAATCTGAATAAGAAGGTATTTTTCATCTCCCAAAAACACATTGAAGGTTTGGTCCTTTTTTAAATACTAAAATTATGAATCGATAGGTTTGGGATTTCTACATTTCTTTGGTTTTTATGTCCTATTTTTATTGTTTTTTTGATACTGAACTTGCAGTAAGTATGGTGAAGATGTACAAATACAACATACATCATATTGGGTTATTCCATATTTAAAGAGTTGTACATTTTTGGCATCTAAAATCAAATAATTCCCCACTTTTGTCTTTCACTTTTTAACAGCCTTTCCTGAATAATCACAAGTGCTGTTTCCCTTCAAGATCACATTTCTGTCTTTTTTTTAATTATCAATAATGACTTTTTTTATACTGTACTTGTAAAGTTGTACATACATCATATTTTTTTATTGCATATTTAAAGAGTTGTACATTTTTGGCATCTAAAACTATTTAAATTCTCCCTTTTGTCCGTCACTTTTTAATACTCTCTTTCCCTTATAATCACAAGTGCTGTTTCCCTTCATGATCCGATTTCTACCAATATTTGTATCTGGGTATAAGGACATTTTCCTCAGATGTGTGTAGTGTGTTGTTTCCACTAGATGGAGCCATAGCCTCAGCTGTCTGACTGTATTCCATCTATTACTGTGTATATCGACTCTGTGTTCAGGGTGTCCGCGGGGTCTTAAAAAGTATTAAAAGTTTTAGCGAAAATGAAGGCTATTAAAAAGTATTAAACGGCATTTTCCAAGGTATTACATTTTGGCAGCTTGTTTTCAATAAGTATATAAATTGTCCAAAGAGGTTGTATTCTACAGTCTGCCTGAATGGAATCATTGCGTAGGTGTGTAGTGTGATTCTGTGTAGTTTATTTATGGCATCCCGTTGGATTTGACGTCATCTGAACAGGACATTGCACGCTCACTGCTTGATAGCGCGCGAAGGCCCGTTTACGCCGGTTGTTAAACAACATCGTTATGGGGAAATGCAAGTCTGCGTCCAAATGGTTGGAAGATAAGGAGGAAGGACAATCAATACTGTATATAGTCAATGTGAGGTAAAGTGTGTCGCCAATGTAACCGGTTAAAACCCGAAGTGGCGATGAGGTCTTAAAATGTATGGAAAGGGTCTTAAAAAAAGGTCTTCAAAGGTCTTACATCTGACTTCAGGATTCCTGCATATACCCTGGTGTTATAATGTGAGTGTTTGCTCCTGCAGGTGGAGTAAGATCTTTAAGTCTCGGATCATCCAGACCATCGCTCTCTATGGAAACACCTCCTTCATGGTGGCCATCGCCATCCTGGTCTTCCTGCTCATCGGTAGGTTGTTTCTCCTCCTCCTCCTTCTTCGTCTTCTCCTTCCTCATTTCAGTCTGTGTTCTGCATCACCTACATTACTCCTCTGGTGATCAATAAAGCAAATAAAATATCCTTATAAGTTTAATTAGGGTCTTTATAGCTCTTGTATTAAGTGAATTCAGTTTCAATCAACTTATCTCAGACTGTGAAGCACATTTGGTTTTGTGTAACATTTAAAGTTCATAATGCAACTGGACACTACTCAACTTGTGGGATACACACTGACGATGTTGTTCTTCTTTGTGTGTGTGTGTGTGTGCGCAGATGCTTTCCGCGAGGTGAGGAAGTACAGCGTGCCGGAGAAGGTGGATCTGACCAACAACCCCACGGCCATCGAACACATCCACATGAAACTGTTCAGAGCGCAGAGGAACGAGTACATCGCCGGCTTCGCCCTGCTGCTCTGCCTGTGAGACACACACACACACACACACACACACGCACACTCACACAGGTCTAAATGCCGAGGAGGGTTACAGTAGGATGGAAAGAATGTGCAGCTGTGTGTGTATGTGTGTGTTTCCATTGAGAAACGCTCACTGTACAGTGTAAATCCTGCTGCCTGACTCTGATTGGATGAGCCTCTGAGGTGTAAATCTGTCATGGTCCCTGATTGGCTAACCCTTCTCAGAGTTGTGTGACATGAGTTTTCGTGATTGGAGGGCAGCTGGTTGTCAGGCTGAGGGGATGTTAGTGGTGATCAAATTAGAAAACATTTTAACTGCAGGTTATATAAGTGAAGGGATAATTAAATGTTTAAAACGGACAAGTCAAATCAAGCAATCTGATTGGTTCTTAGCCGTGATATACTGAACGTATACCACAGGTAGAATTGTAGTTACTTTTCACAACAAGCCAGTATCCCTCCGCGTCTGAGAAAAACTGTATACAGTTGGGCTGAAAAGCAAACTGGGACAAGAAAGCAGCGGAGAAGTAACGGGGCAGAAACCCTCCTTTTTACGCAGCGGTCCAGACATAGACATCAAACGGCAAAACATATTCAGTGTGCAGCTCCTTTGGCATTAGGGCAGGGATATTTAGATACTTTCCAAGGTTTGACATAATGAATTGTGCTACTTTTAAAGCAAGCAACGATGTTTTCAAATCTGTAATCATTAATGCAGTGCTTATAGGACTCTTATGGCGCATTTCCATTGCAGCGCGTAGCTCGCTTTAAGCGTGCCGTGTCGTGCCGTCCCCTTTTTTGGTTGTGCTTCCACTAGGCCTCGTTCCGGCGCGGCACGGCGCGGGGCCACTTTTTCCCCTCTTTTCTGGCCCTAGAAAATTGTGGTTCTATCGGGGCCAACAAACAGGGCTGAGTCGGGCTGAGTATGCTAAACTAGAGAGAGGAGCGCTGGCAAGAGGGCTAGAACTACAACAAGATGGACATATTTGACCGTGATTTAATTGTAATACACGTTTCAAAATGATGCCGAAGTAACAACATACTGATACCGGTTAGTAAAAACCATGAATTAATGCTTTGTCAAGTCTGCAGACAGACGGCAGGCGAAAAACCTTTTAAAATTCGTGTTTTTCTAGATGGAGATTGGCTAAGCTAACGCAGTATATGCTCTGACCGTCCACACTCACAACAACGGCCTATACAGACATAAATACAGCAGCGACTGTATTCACCATGACACAGGCAGTCTGTGGTGTGTACTTGTTTAACTTTTGTCGAGTTTCTGAACATATATAAGGAGCTGTGAGCTCTGAGTGCTCACAGCTAACGGCTGTGTTGTGTTTCTGGATTTCTCATTGAAGATGACGTCACGGCTCCGCCTACACTGCGTTACTATAGTAACTACCCCAGTTCCTAAACTGTAATGGAAGCGCAGCATGAAGTGAGTCGGCCCTGTTAAGGCCCAACGCGGCCAAGCCGTACCGAGCCGTACCGAGTGTGGCCGAGGCCGACCGTGTAGTGGAAATGCGCCATTAGGTTACTGCTTTAAATTCTAGCACGTGTGTGACCCGCTCTATCGAAATCAGTCGGAAGTCGCAACGGCTCATTTAAAAATAAACGTAGATTTGCGTAAAAAACTAGTTTTTCGGGTGTTTTGTTTGATTTTAAATAAACGAAACAAAGTCTTGGCTTTCAGAATATGAAACTTTTATTTTATTTCCAAAATCACACGATGTTTGAAGCTTGTAAAGGGAAGTTGACAGCTCTCACTCGCACTCTGCTGTTCCACAGCGCCGCTCCCCCTCCCTCCGGCTGACATTATGAATGTAAGGCGTATAGTAATCATAGATAACACGGCAGGGTCCGTTACAGTTTGTTTTCATCTGATTTCAATTAAACAAAGTCTTGGCTTTCAGAATATTAAACTTGTTTCGGCAAATTCAGATGATAAATACAACTTTAAAGCTTGTTACTGCATAATTACGAGAACGGAGTAACTTAACGTCACAGCACGCATAACAACAGCCGGTGTTTCTCGTGAGTGTTTCCCCCGGGAAACAAATGCAAAAATACACAAACACACACACTCACACACACACTCGCGGGCTTCCCCCAGACCAGTAATCCAAACGAAAATATCTTCCCTCCGTACTATTTTTATCATTTGCTCCGCTAATAACCAATCAGATCGATGGATTCCAGAGAAGTGATGACTCGGTAACAGTCATTATATAATGTGACATATTTAGCTTAATATTTGGGAGTACAAAAACAATCCTGATATCATTAGAAAGCTATGAATCTCCTCTTTCCAACAGTGTATACAACTCAAAATGTGTCTTCGGCTCAATGCGACTGATTTCGATAGAGCAGGTCACATGTTATGGCAATCAATACACTAAACAATGCACTTATAAGATCATCACAGTATGGATTTTGAGGTAATAATCGTATCTACATATCGCCCATCAGTATCTTTAATTTGTAATGTTAAAAAGTAACTGAGTGAGGTTACCTTGGTTGCTGATTGGCTAATGGTTACACAAGCCCAAAACATCATGACATCATCAAGTGGCCAAAATCTGATCAGCTCATTTTCAGACAGGTTTTTATATAAATGGATCAGGACAAAAAGAGAGAGAATCTTTGTTCCTGAAACTTTCAGAGTCTCTTTCCACAGAGGGGACACATGGTGATGTAGAAGAGACATGAAGAAGAGGGGACACATGTTGATGTAGAAGAGACATGAAGAAGAGGGGACACATGTTGATGTAGAAGAGACATGAAGAAGAGGGGACACATGGTGATGTAGAAGAGACATGAAGAAGAGGGGACACATGTTGATGTAGAAGAGACATGAAGAAGAGGGGACACATGGTGATGTAGAAGAGACATGAAGAAGAGGGGACACATGGTGATGTAGAAGAGACATGAAGAAGAGGGGACACATGTTGATGTAGAAGAGACATGGAGAAGAGGGGACACATGGTGATGTAGAAGAGACATGAAGAAGAGGGGACACATGGTGATGTAGAAGAGACATGAAGAAGAGGGGACACATGTTGATGTAGAAGAGACATGAAGAAGAGGGGACACATGCTGATGTAGAAGAGACATGAAGAAGAGGGGACACATGTTGATGTAGAAGAGACATGAAGAAGAGGGGACACATGTTGATGTAGAAGAGACATGGAGAAGAGGGGACACATGGTGATGTAGAAGAGACATGAAGAAGAGGGGACACATGGTGATGTAGAAGAGACATGAAGAAGAGGGGACACATGTTGATGTAGAAGAGACATGAAGAAGAGGGGACACATGGTGATGTAGAAGAGACATGAAGAAGAGGGGACACATGGTGATGTAGAAGAGACATGAAGAAGAGGGGACACATGTTGATGTAGAAGAGACATGAAGAAGAGGGGACACATGTTGATGTAGAAGAGACATGAAGAAGTGGATTTTGCATAATAGGTGACCTTTAAGTACAGTACTTGAGTAAATAAACATAGTTACCCCCCCCCCCGCAGCTGCTGGTGAATCACGCAGCATGTGATGCAGCAGCTGCTGGAACACAGAGTCCAGCGTTTAGACCGAGCCGCTCACTGACCGTCTGCTGTGACTCAGAGAATAAAAGCATATATATTTGGATCACACGTTTCTGGAAAGGCTGAAGCGCCGGCAGCTGATGAGATTATTTTCAGAACTCCATGAGAGGATCTTCTTCTGCAGACGAATCAGAAACGGATTTGTTGATGTACAAAATGTTTTAATTCCCAGTTCAGACTCTGATGTAACTTCCAGCGTGATTTATCATCTCTGCTGTGCTGGAGAGCGCCTCTGTTGTTTTTCTAATTATGATAAGATATACCTTATTGACGTTAAACATATTGCGTTACAGTAGCATGTTCAAACAAGGCATTGCAAATAATTTGAAATATAAAAAGTTGAAAATAAAGGAAATGTAAATATCTCAAAAAAGAAATTAAAACAGAATTATTAAGTTAAATATATAAAAGTTGACTGTCAAAAGATCCAGATATGTAGTTCTCTGGCACATAAACACTATGAAGGGCAAAATGACATCTAACACAATTTAAAAGTTGTATATTTTGAACGTTAAAGATGGGGTAGGTAAGAATGAGCCACACCGTTATTCTCAAACCCCCACGCTCACTGTCCTGCTGCCCCAAATACTCACTAGAGCACCAAATGCGGATTAACCTGCCGCTAAAAATAACCCCCAACAAATTCACCTTTTTCCTTTTCAACGATCAAAACGGCTGTGAATGGATTTTTTATTTTTTTATTACATAAGAACTTTTTCAAACATGTAACTATCTTTGTGTTTTTTGCGTGACAGACTAAACACATTGTTGGATTATAGTCTGGATTTCTACCAGGGAAAAACAATAAATCTGACTAGTCTTTAACTAAACAATGTCTCATAAGAGTCTGAAGAAGCTTCTACATTTGTTGACTTCATTTAAAGGTCACCTATTATGCAAAATCCACTTCTTCATGTCTCCTCTACATCAACATGTGTCCCCTCTGTGTAAAGAGATTCCTCTCCTCGAGCACCATTGTGTTCTTTTTAAACAAATATCTCTCAGAGGGGCGTGGGGAGGGGCTCCTTATTTTCATCTAAAGTAACAGACAGTGGGTGTTTCTCAATGTCGAGTACGCTTGCTTGGTAGGACATGTCTTCCGAGTCACTTGCTTCAGAAGCGAGGCAAGAATACTTCCTGGCATTCGGAAAACGAAGTGTGGAACAGGCTAGCAAGTGTGCAGGTGTGCGTCATATGAGAGGCCCCGCCTTACATCTTCCGCTACAGATTTGGGGAAAGTGGTCCGTGCGCAAAGCATTGTGGGGATTTTAAGACCGCGGAGTCTACACATGTGCAGCCTCGACATTTCTCCAAACGGAGTACGCCGGGCTCGGTAGATTTCCAAGTATGCTGGAGATTGGAACAGTCCTTCGGCGCCACTCGATGACGTAGTATGCTTGAAATAGTGGCTCTGGAGCAGCCTTCCTCGACATTGAGAAACAGACAGAGAATCAGCACTTTTGAAACAGAGAGGATTATGGGATGCTGCAATGATCTGTTTGGTGTTTCAGCCAATCAGAGACCGGTTCTGGATATATCTGAGACCTGTAATATATTGATGAAAAACAGTATGATAGGGGACCTTTAAGGTATTAAAGTGTGGAAATGTTTCTGCCACCTGAGCATCTCACAACAACTTTACTCAGCAGGTGTATTCACAGTCTGCGGCCTAATAAATGATGTTAGAAAAATATTATTGAAAACCATGTTCAAGTCATATTGAAGAAAAAATTCAACGTTTCCGACAGGCTAAATGAGAATCTTAGCTGTTTCATGATGTTAAATAAAGAAATGAATACAAATAATCACTAAAGTAGGAGCTGAAACTCGACAGAAAAACCAAAGTAATACTCTCAAAAGCCTCAAAGGGAAACCAACTTATTACAGTGACACCCAGGCGACCATTGCTTGATGTTATGATAACCAAATACATGTGCAGTCCAAACTAAAAATAATACCAATAATAAACACAACCTAAATATTTTGCTTCTACAAGCAGACTGCTCCTATCAATCACTGTCTGTAGAGATGCACAGGAATTTGGGGGAGGGTGTCTTCTATAGGTTCCCCCTCCTGTTTTGTGTCACCATGATACACACACACACACACCCCTCAGCTGGGAAGTGTCAGGGGAAACTCAATGTGTGTGTTAGTCGTTTCTGTATGTATTTATGCTTGTGGGAAGTTGTCAATGGCTATATTAGGCTTTACATGATGGATGGCCTAGCACACATACACACACACACACACACACACACACACACACACACACCAGCTGGGAAGTGTCAGGGGAAACTCAATGTGTGTGTTAGTCGTTACTGTATGTATTTATGCTTGTGGGAAGTTGTCAATGGCTATATTAGGCTTTACATGATGGATGGCCTAGCACACACACACACACACACACGTACACAACAGCAGGTTGTTTTGGGGCTCAGGTGGTGTTCTCACTATTTCATGCCAGTTAACCAAGCGTTATATTAAAACACTGGAAGAGTTAAACCTATATATTGGATCCCATAATATGCTTTTTGGGGTTCTCCTTTCCTGTAGTGTGTTCTATAGGTTTTAGTGCATGTAAATGGTCTGCAAAAGCTAAAATCCCAGTGAGTTTCTAGGTTGAATTGACCATTCAGAGGAGGAAACTTGCACGTAAAAAAATCTTCGGTTTGCGACTTGATTTCCGACTTTGACATTGAAGGTTACACGTTACGCGTTCAGTCTTTTTTGACCACATGTTTGTGTGTGTGTGTGTGTGTGCAGGTTGCTGCGTCGCCTGGCCACGCTGCTCTCCCAGCAGGCCACCTTCATGGCCTCCAACGAAGCCTTCAAGAAGCAGGCGGAGGGCGCCAGCAACGCCGCCAAGAAATACATGGAGGAGAACGAGCTGCTGCAAGAGGTGACACACACACAGATACACATATACACACACATATTATATACACACACATTATACACACACACACACAATTTATTATTTATCGAGCTTTATAAGGAATTATTTATTTGTCCGACTCACAACTTCACTGTTCTGGTTCATTCATACAACTCCCATTGCGTCAATTTCATCACTTAGAATCTGAAAACTTAATTTATCTAGTGGAGTCATGTGGTTCAGTGGGTTGAGCGATGGTGTTCGGATCAAGTTCAAACCCCACTGCAGTCAGCATGTCGTTGTGTCCCTGAGACACTTCACCCCAAATTGCTCCTGTGGGGATTGTCCACAGTATTGAGTATGTAAGTCGCTTTGGATAAAAGCGTCTAACAAGTGACATGTCATGTAATGTAATGTAATGTAATCCCGGGGGCAACTGGGTTTCCTTGCTCCATTTTATAAAAGATACATTTAAATGGAATAAAAAAATTATAAAAACGGGCAAAGAAATATATATATATTAAAAAACAATTCAAGATTTTTTTTTGCTACAAAGGTTAAAATACAATGTTCAATAAAAGATCAAATACAATTAATATTTATATTAGCACGTGAAGTTTAAACGAAATGTCTAAATATATAATACATAAGAATAAAAATATTTAAACGTGTACATTGTACGACAACATAAAACATTAATTTACTAATAATTAATTTCAGGGAAAAAGCTGTGAGACGCTGCTGTTCCTTCAACTCACCAGTGGGGGGCAGCTGCTCTAAAATAAACACTGGAGATATTCAGAGGGCAACACATAACACATACTATCTTTGTCTCATTCACAATGTGGACTCCACACACACACATACATACACACACACACACACATACACACACACACACACACACTCACACACTCTGTGGTAATGTGACCTGTTTGTCCGGGGTTAGGAGATCACCCAGCACTCTGCTAAAAGGAGAAGTTGCTTCATCTGCATGTGACACACACACACACACACACACACACACACACACACACACACACACACACACACACACAGACCACAGTTTAATATCCTCCACCACAGAAACAGAAAGGAAGTTCCCTATGAAATCTTAAAGACATTCCTGTTCTCACCAATACAATTTGCCGCCGTTTAAATAAAAGTGTGTTATTTTTATTGTACATTGACCACGCAAAATGTGCAAGATGCAATAAAATGTCCTTTTTTGCATGAAATTAAAAATAATTAATTGTAGCAATGCACCAGAATGTTCTAATAAAAAGGAGTTTGATTTGTAGAATAATATAAAAAATGGAAATATACTAAAGGAAGATATAAACACAACACTTTTGTTATACCCATTAATTATATTAAATGCACAAAATGGACAGTCAGAGGTTAAAACGGAGGAATAGTCACTGTTCATCTGAAGTGTTGGATAATAAATTATTTTCGCATGAGAAATGTAGATTTAAAGAATAGGAAAGCGCAGATCAAACTGATATCACCTTTTATAACGCCGTGTTGTCATCACACACACAGAGAGATATATCTGTCTGAGCCTCGAAGGTCAGTTATGTGTGCACACACACACACTCACACACTCAATCACTCACAGATGACACTATATCTGACAGAATGGTGACAACTTGTGTGTGTGTGCACGTTCACATGTAATCAGTGTAACATGTTTCTGTCGAGGACACTGACTCCATCCTCCCTCTGACATCCTTCACATGAAATACATTGTTGAGATTTATTAATTGATTTTGTGTAAATCTCAGAATTCTGACTTTAATAAAAAAATTCTGACTTATTTCTGAAAAGTCCGAATTCACATGCGGTCCTCTCCTCTTCCGTATCTATAATAACACATTCACAAAAATGAGGGAGCACATTACCAATACACCGCATAACAACATAAAATACATTAAAGTGGACCTATCATGCTATATTTGAATAATATAGTGTAGGACCATACCTATATAAGGCATATTTATACTTTTTTTTTCAAAATACCAAACAGATCATGCATTTTAGCCATGCCTCATTTTGCTCAATTTGACAATTTATAGCTCTGTTTTTGCAAGGGCTGATTCTGTGAGAACAGCACCATCTACAGGCCTGGCATATGTACTACAGCGTCTCCAGCGCTTTCGAACGGCAATGGCCGTGGCTGTCTCCTCCTGATTGGTGGAGTTGGCCCAATAGCCGTAGCGCCACCGTCCTGACGTCAGGACAGTGTTCAAATCTGGATCAGTTTTTATCAGATCCGTTGCAGCCCCTTTTTTAGAGATTTGGGTATGGAGGAAAATAGAGAGGGTTGTGTTTTCTGACACTTGGTGAGTTCCCTGGAACACCGGGGACACATATTCATGTATACAAGACGTACAAAAGTGCATTTTGCATGATAGGTCCCCTTTAACATTTCATATTGACACATTTCATTGATCCTTAAAAGTAGAAGTAAGTCTTAAAATACTCCATTTCAAGTAAAAGTCCTGAATTAAAAAAATTGTACTCGAGCAAATGTGTTGGCATCCGAAAGTTAAAGTACTCATTCTGCACAAAGGCTTATTTCAAAATAGTATTATAAGCTTAATAAAGGAACAAAAGTCAAAGTACTTGTTATACAGAATAGAGAAAATGAGTCTTAAAGTACCATTTCATATCATGTTTGTACAAAGCAACTATGAATATTATATGATAGATGTGGATGAGAAGTATATGTAAATACTCAAGTAAAGTACAATTAAGTTAAAATAGTACGTATTCCACTGCTTCTAACCATAACTCAAAAGACATATTTAAGGTATTCTCTGAATGGCTCCGTTAGTGTGTAAGTGGTAACCGGTGTGGAATAGTTTCCTGAAGGTTTCCCGGGTTCACGAAGTCGTCTATATTTATCTGTCAGATGTATTCTGATGTTTTTAAAAGGTGTTGATGGTGCTCGTGATGCAGCAGCTCGGGGGTCCTCGGGGTCTCGTGGCCTTTCTGATCCGACCCCGAGACGCTTTTATTCAGCCTGAGAGAGCCATAAAATGTGGATTTATTATCCCAGCCTCGTCAATCAAAGGGCGGACGCTCAGCACCTGCCCCCCCCCGTCACTCAGAAACACACCATGAGTTTATCCAGTCTCTTGTTGTTGAATATCTAATATTTAATAATCATATATGTGATGTTTGAGCCTCTGGTGGATGGCAATAAGCACATTTGAAAGTGTATTTAAGGTAATTAATACTTCTCTTAATTGTTTAGTTCTTAGACAAAAAAATTGGCAACACATTGGATTGTTTTGACTTATTTTTATATCGGTGTATCATTAAGATATCTAATTACATGGCAATAAATGACAGACCTGGAGTGACACTAAAACAAATGCTGTAGTCATAGAGACACCGACATAGACAGGTGTAAATACCAAACACTCCTTCATCCACACAGCTGCACACACACGCACACACAGACACACACACAGACACACGCACAGACACACACACACACACGCACACACAGACACACACACACCATGCTCATTATAATAGGTGACCAATAACAAGAGAGGAAGAAAAGTGTTTTGGAAAATACAAAACCCTCAAAACTCTGGAAGTCCCGACATGGAGAGACTCAAAGTTTTAATGTCACTTTACAACGGATCTAAAATAGATGAGAATAGAGAGCAGAAAAGAAGAAGAAGAAACACTGTGTGTGTGTGTCACAGGCACACAACTGTTTGAAATACAATCATATTCTATTCTAATAGTCTGAAGATAAGATGTAATATGTGAAATGGGACACCCTTATAAGCTTTGTGAAGCTTCAGAATCATGGACCAGACACTAAACAGAAAGTATGTAAAATACATCTTCTAGAATTGGAGCGTTTTCACGTATTCTACAGAAACAATTACAAGCTTAAAAACCCCTAACTAAATAACCTAAAAATAACTTCTTCAGTACCAAAACATGTTCAAAAAGCTCTTTATTGTTCTCATACTGCCTGTGCTGCAGCACCTCTTTTCACCCTCTGTCTGAAACCAGAGCCCAGTCTGCTCTGATTGGTTAGCTGGCCGGCTCTGTTGTGATTGGTCAACCGCTTAGAGATGTCCCGCCCCTTTTAGTCTATCACGTACAATGTGTTGGAGTGCTAGCCAATAGGAGCGCGAGTAGGGTATTTAGACATTTTGTGTATTCGAGTTTTGATATACTTCAATTATGATGTGGATATACTGTATATAACACCATTCTTAGTACATTTATATTATATTTTTAAAACATATATTAGAATGTATTTTATTTATATTATAAACTGCCACAGATAATGAAATGTTTATAATTATAGTATTTCATACCTGTTGACCCCCACTACAAACAAACACTCGTTTATTTAATTGTAACTCGAACACCGTATTTACAGCCAATCAGAGAGCAGGGTTTTGTTTCTCGCAGTGTAAACTCAGAGAGCAGCTGCTGATCTGAGGTCAGCGCTGAGGTGAGGAGCGTTTGGTATGACCACCTGTTCGTCTGAGTGGGTGGAGTCAAAACAGAAACACACGTCCACAGCAGCAGTTTAAATTCCTTCACATCTGATTTAACAAGTTTATGACCTCGTCGGTTTCCTGCAGATTTTACTTTATCATGTGTTTTGTAAGATAAGAGTATATTGGACATTTTATCATGAGGGTAATTGTCGTGCAGCAGTTGCGAAAGTCTGAAGATAAGATTTAATTAAAAGTGTTAACAACAAACTCATATCCACACCACACAGTAAGAAAAGGCAAGTTTATTTATATAGCACCTTTCAGCACGCGACAATTCAAAGTGCTTTACAAAATCAATTAAAAGACATTTTAAGAGTAAATACAGTAGAAACACATTATATAAGAACATTTTACAACAGGCATAAAAAAGCAAAGATAATCAAATAAACACAACAGGTTTACAATACATGTATAAAAGGCATACTGCAGTGCGAATATGAACAGCTCAATTAAAAGCAGCGGCAAAAGGATATGTTTTCAGTCTCGATTTGAGAATAGTAAGAGTCTCTGTGGACGTGCATGATTCGGGCAGATTGTTCCAGATGGTCGGGGCATAATAGCTAAACGCTGCTTCTCCATGTTTTGTTCTTACTCTCGGAACAGAGAGCAGACCCGTCCCAGAAGACCTGAGACTCCTTGATGGTTCATAATTATGTAGGAGATCGTTAATATACTTTGGTCCTAAACCATTTAGTGATTTAAAAACTAGCAATAATACTTTAAAATCAATTCTTTGGCCGACAGGAAGCCAGGCTAAAGATTTCAGAACCGGACTGATCCACTCTTTTAGTGTCAGTGAGGACTCGAGCAGCGGCGTTCTGAATCAGCTGCAGCTTTCTGATGGATGTTTCTGTCAGCCCTGTGAATACACTATTGCAGTAGTCGAGTCTACTGAAGATAAAAGCATGGACAAGCTTTTCTAAATCCTGCTGTGACATTAGTCTTTTAATCCTAGGTATGTTCTTCAGGTGATAGTATGCAGACTTAATGACTGTTGTAATGTGGCTGTTGAAACTCAGGTCTGAGTCCATCACTACACCTAGATTTCTAGATTTGAGTTACTTTGTAGTCATGCCGACTGAAGCTCTGCGATTACTTTTAATCGGTCCTTCTTTGCTCCAAAAACAATGATCTCAGTTTTTTGTTTGTTCAGTTGGACAAAGTTCTGAGTCATCCAGTCATTGACGTGCTCAATGCACTTGCTCAGATTTCTAATCGGAGAGTAGTCTCCTGGTGTAATTTAAAAATGAATGTGCGTGTCGTCTGCATAGATGTGATAGCTTAGATCGCTGTTTTTAATAATTTGAGCCAGTGGTAGCATATAGATATTAAAAAGCAAGGGTCCTAAGATGGAGCCTTGAGGAACCCCGCATGACATATTTGTCAAGGTTGATGTGTAGTTGCCCATTGAGACAACGTTTCTTCTGTCCTTTAAGTAGGAACTAAACCAATTTAGAACTGTCACTTCCAGTCAGGATTGGAAGGTGCTTACTGTATATCAATTTAAAAGCTGTGTCTCGCATCCGCTCCCAGTAAATACAGTTTTAAAATATCTAAAGTTGTGATCTGTTAAAAGATTTAATAATTCATTCAATCATCTGAAAAATCCACTGAAATTAATTCCCTTACTTCGAGTTATTTTCCATTTTATCATGGGTTACGTTTTGTCATTTTAAAACATTTTCTGGTGTTTTTTCCTCTTTCAACAGAAACTCCGTAACGCTGGTCTCGATCTGCCGGAGGCCGGGAAGAAGGGAGCCGGACCGGTGGAGGAGAACAAGAACCTGAAGGAGGAGGTGAAGACTCTGAAGGAGGAGCTGGACAACAACAAGAAAGGTGAGGAAGAGGAAGATGGGAGAAAAAGAAGTGTATATGGATAAAGAGAGTAAAATTATGGATACATGACATCATTGGAGATCGGGCTCGATATACGGTCAAAGTGAAATCGGTAGGGGATCGATGTCCATTCAGTCTGCTGGTGGACGAATGACTCGATGGCCAGAGGTGTCATATCCTGAAATCTATACCTACCAGCCACAGATCGCTTCTTTTACTGTCCTTTTGTCTTGGAGGAAGTACAGAGAAACGTTACTCTGGATTTTATTTGATGTTTGAGCATGAAGCAACTTTAGTTCTCCGCTTCGTGCCGATACTTTGTTTCCCCCGAAAGTGGGCGGGGCCGTGATTTCTCCCGAAAGTGGGCGAGGCCGTTGCTCTCATCTATAGGAATAAAATAAAAGGAGGCAAATGGAAGAAGGAATAAATTGGAAAATACATTTGTAAAATTAATGAAAGGGAGTTGTATAACAATACTGATTATATGTTTGATGTATTAAAATCATCTGCCAGATAAATGTTCTGGTGTAAAAAAAATACAATATTCCCCCGTGAGATGTAGCGGGGGTAGAAGTATAAAGTATCAGAAAATGAAAAAAAACAAGTATAAAGTACCTCAAAGCTGCACTTAAATCACGTACTGCAGTAATAGTACTTATTTAACCCCCCCCTCTGTGTTTATGTTCTGCAGCTCTGCAGAAGTCGGACAGTGACGTTCGTGCGATGAAGAGTCAGGCGGAGAATCTGACGGTGGAGTACGACCGACTGCTGGACGAACACAGCAAACTGATGGTAACACTCACACACACTCACTCACACACTCATTTGCAGACACACACACACACTCAGTCACTCATTCACACACTCATTCACTCATTCACACACACACACACACACACACACACACACACACACACACACACACACACACACACACACACACACACACACACACACACACACACACACACACACACACACACACACACACACACACACACACACTCATTGTCACACACACACAGTCACACACACAGTCACACACACACACACACACACACACTCATTGGCACACTCACTCACACAGTCACATACACACACACACACACACACACACACTCATTGTCACACACACAGTCACACACACACACACACACACTCATTGGCACACTCACTCACACAGTCACATACACACACACACACACACACACACACACACACACACACACACACACACACCACTCATTGGCACACTCACTCACAGTCACACACACACTAAAACGTACGTGTGTGTTCAAACTTGATTTATATGTAACCAAAAGCTGGTTGTAAGTTTCTTATTTATAGTTGAGCGTTAAGCGTCGCCCAAACAACTCAGGTTACACTATGTTTTTATTATATTCAAGTTTAAAGTTATTTTATTTTGATATGCAAAACAATGACAGAGAGATACTGTAGTCATTGGATCTCAGACTGTCTGTTAATATTGTGTGTGTGTGTGTGTGCGCTATATGAGCCTGACAGGCAGGTTAGAGGTGGACCAGCTGCTGCTGCTTCTTATACAAACACACACACACACACACACACACCAAACATAAAGTTATGTAACATACCTCGAAGTTAGTTGCCCGAGAGATGATGTCATCGCTGTTTTAAAATCCCCCAACACACACACAACTTGATTTATAGGTTACCAGACTCCACACACACACACACTCACTCTAACAGGTGCACACTCAGGCTGACAGAAGCAAAACAAATGTTGTCGTTGCAGCCAAGAGAAAACCCCCAAACCTTTTTTTAACATCGGTGTTACACTGAGTGTTTTATAAAAGTTGACTGATAACATAATTCATTTTATAGCAGTGGGGGGGAAACTACTCAAACGGCACGTAACATTTATATATTTTCTGAATTTTGAACATGTAAGAGTTTAAATCGGTTAAAATTATCCCAATATTTACCTTTCTTTAAAATCGTCAAACATCGGCCAAACTGACTCTGTGTTTTTTCCGCCCTGTTCTCTGTCTGCAGGCAACAAGCGACAAGAAGTCAGACTGAGAAGGATTTCCAGCTTCTATCATCTTCATCATCGTCTTCAAAGAACAGCCTGCTGCTTCTGCATCAGTGATGTCACTTCCTTATTTGGACGACGGCTCGCTGTGATTGGTTTATTTCATGTGGCTTAAAAAACATATACATCTCATCTGACTGTCAAAAAAAAAAAAAGTGGGCTGTCTGTGAAACTTTCAGACGAGGTTTTCTGTTTGTTTGTTTGTGTTGTTTGTTTGAGGAACATCTGATCATTCCCTGTTTCCTACAGCTCGAGAGAAACTAAAAAAACAACCTGAATTTCATAACTTTCTGCTTTTTCTTTTGTTGCAAGAAACAGAATATTCCCAAAAATTTGAGGTCCAAAGAATTCAATACACCCGCTCTCCTGTATTGATAACTAAAATATTGCACATTTAAGGATTACAATTGAACGTGGCCAAACACAATCCTTCAGAAATGACCTTTTTAACCTTAATGTTTTATTTGTTAAGTGGATTTCGGGTTGAAAAAACAATGAAAACTGTTGAATGTACTGTTGAAACTTGGATCTACAGTCTGTGAATCACGTTGTATGAGCCAAACAAAAACACCCGAGTCTCCTCTTACCTGCTTCCCTTTCTTTGAAATAATGCCCAAATCCTTATTATGATGATTTCTACACTGGTTATCTTTAATATCCTGAAGTTTCTACGCTCACCTATCGACATATTTCCAACTCAAACGGTAAAATAAAGGATAAACAAATGACCAGACGTTTGTTTTGCTCGTACAAAGTGATCCGTCTTATTTCTTTGTGGTAATAAACTTGGTTGGTTTGAAGATTTTGTTATAGGTTTGTCATTAAGTTAATCGGTTTTCACTTATTTCTTTGTGTTATTTAGGTATTTTTCTTGTTTTGTGGCTTTCAGACTAAGATTTTCTCTCTGGTAAAACAAGTTTGTGGACCCGTTTCACCTTTAAACCATCAAACACTATATTCTTATTGTTTTGATTGTTTGATAGATGGTGCAGCTGTAAAGGATTAATACATGTTTTAATTAACTGTAAAAACTGTCATTCCTCTTCTGTCCACTTACATGCACAAAATCATGTTCACTGTCTCAGTTTTCATCACGTTTAGCTGCACTGATCATCAGTCTGTGTTCGACGCTTTACGGCAAAATTGGGTAGGAATTTGTGAGCAGATGACGATTGTGAGCAAATTGGGGTAAAAAAAAAACATCACAAAGCGGTCTGAATAAGAAACGGATGAGATACTTAATGACGTGTAGTAAATTAACATCGACTGCTGCCGAACAAAAAGAAATGGACAGTTTTCCATTGACTCCTCTTCACTTACAGAGACACTGACATTAACAATTCGTCTAAATTACTTGATAAGAATATCTGCATGAGCAGTTATGCAAAGAGGCCCTGTCACCTTGTGTTCAAATCAGCTAGTGTTGAATTAAATAACTGCAAAACATGAGAAATTGGAACGATTTTCAGGCTGATATTGAAGCGCTAATTTATTTGATCTGAGCCGGTAAACATCGTCCATTTTCCATCATGTTTATCATTAGCAACACTGACGAGAAAGGACATGCTTAAGTGTCGCGTCAAACAGAAATCAGCTTCCTTTATGAGCGTCACAGGAAATGCTAAAATACACAAAAACAGAAGAAAATATTGTGCAGCTGACAGCATGTGTTTCTCTTGAATGACCCGGTGGATGTTTAGCTTTTAAATGTTCGCCATATTTCAAACTAAAACTAAAATATGTGGTGAAATCCCAGCGTTTCACAGCTAATGTAGGGTTGAGTCCACACAGTTCTCACGCCTCACTTGGTTTACGTCTGTTTCTTCTTATTTTGAAGTATAGTTTCTACAGTAGGGTGAGTTGCCCTAATGTGGGACACTCCCTAATGTGGGACACTTAAGGCTTAATGGTTGTAGGTCTTCCGCAAACAAATTAGAGTCAATGAAACTTAACACAAGCTGTGATGTCATGCGATCAAAATCACATGACTTCTCAAATGTCCAATCACAGATGAGGGTGGAGCAACCTTCAAACAAGTGTCCCACATTAGGCTTAAAGCAAAAAGAGTGTCCCACATTAGGGCAACTCACCCTATGTCTACTTTCTTGCATGAGCACACACTTTCGTTTGTTAAAATATATGTTTTCTGGTTATATAAAGACTTGTGGGACTTGTATTTTGATAGTCTGTCACGTTTATTTGATGCTGAATGTGTTATTCTGTATTTTGGTTTCATATACTTGTTACATCTTTAAGAAAGTGTGATGATGCTGAGAGAAATTCACCTTTAATGCTTTATGATGAGACATGAATATTCAGGCTGATTTAACGAAGCGTCTGTGGTTATTCAGACCAAACCTCATGCTGCATATCTCTGTATTTAAACACAGAAATGTTCTCTTGTTTAATTTTCACCTGTGTGTTGTTTTTGAAGACTGATGGTGTGTAACTCTAGAGTTTCGGAGGGATCACGGTGAACTGTATCTGGACTCATCGTGTCAGAAAATTGGAAGTTTTGAAATAAACCAGCAAAGGAACTTCTATAGAGTCTGCTGGTATTTTACTTTTGTGTGTTTCCTGTCACCTGGTGTTGGATGTGCACTGATTAAAGGTCACCTATCATGCTACTTTTAGGCAATAGCATAGGTCTCAGATATATAAGAATATATAAAAAACATGTCTATGAAGTGTTTTGCTAAAAATACCAAACAGATCACCCATTCTAGCCATGCCTCATATCCCTCTATTTCACTTCCTGTTTCAAAAGTGCTGATTTGGGGTATAAAGCTTTAAAAAAAAGGAGGGGTCTGAGCTCATGCGGGACCCGGCAGCTACTGTCTAAACTAAATACTGCCGTGATGAAACGCCATATCATGGATTATCAAGGATTCTCTCTGAAACAGTATGGAGCTCAAAGGCTTTCTCTCTTGCCGGTTATACCACAAGGTGAGTTCCTTTTTATTTCCTGCTTCTTCACACACATGCTCTCCAGTACAGGTTAGCTCTGAGTGTTAGCGATGCTAATGTAAACACCGACCATATTACGTCCAAAACAGTCGGGCATTGTTTCTGATAGCAACGTTTCTGATAATGCTGTGGGTCCACATTTCAGATATTACGTCATATCGGACGCAAATCTGGATCAGCTCCGTTGTAGCCCCGTTTTTAGAGATTTGGGTACGGAGGAAAAGAGAGAGGGTTTTATTTTCTGACGCTGCGTGAGTTCCCCGACACACCAGGGACACATATTGATGTATTAAAAAAAAGTGCATTTTGCATGATAGGTCCCCTTTAAAACTACAAAAACAACAAGAATGCATTTAAATTACAATCATTCGAAGTCACACTATGCCCTTATTCTGATAGTCGTGATTTAGTTATGATCATTTGATATCTTGACATTATAAATATATCTTCCTTTAAGTCGTGTTTATGATAAAGCTTCATGCATTAAAGTGAACGGTGTTAACATTTGACTTTTTATTAGAGGTGCAGTAACTAAGTAAATGTACTCAAGTACTGTACTTAAATACAATTTTGAGATACTTGTACTTTACTTGAGTATTTCGATGTTATGCTGCTTTGTACTTTTACTCCACTACATGTATTTAATACCTTTAGTTATGTTAATGTTAAAAATGTTAATATCTTATTTGACGTTTGCACTTAACAAACAGGGTGAAGGTGTCACTTTGGTCTGATTTGTGTCTAAATGTCTCCCTATTTGTACTACTTTTACAAAACACAATTGGTATAATGGAGAAAATAATCCGCAGAATAAGCTATATTTAGTCAAAAATCATTGCCTCTATTTGTGTTACACAGACAGCGGGATCGAAATCTGAGTGTATATATACATATATGCATAGACACAAATATACGGTAACACTTTAGATTAAGGTACACATATTCACCATCAACTAGTTGTTCATTTACACATTAGAGTCAAACTACTAGCTTATTGGTTATGAACAAGACTTCACTTTAAAATAGGGAACTTATTCTGAGTTAGAAAAACCTCATTTTGAGTTATTTTGACACAATTAACACTTGTAGTTTCATGTCTTGTTCCATAAGAATAGACCATATTTGTTAGGTGTTATTATGAGAGTTATTAGGCCCATATTGAGCATATTAAGACCCTAACTCATGCACAACAACGTCCTTACTTACAATAAATAAGAGGGTTATTGAGGACAAACGCTTAACTAATGGCCTAGTACTTGGTCATGGTCATGTAGAATAAGGCGTGTTTTATAATGACTAATAAAGAGCCAATATACTGCTAATATGCATGTTAATGAACAACTAGTTGATGGTGAATATGTGTACCTTAAAATAAAGTGTTACCAAATATACATATACACACATTTAGAGGTAGGAATAAAAACAGACGGTAAATATACAAAAGAATAACGTCCACAGGTTTGAGTCTAGTCTAGTGAGCTACACTCATTATTTCAACAGTGCAAATATATACAGTAGTGCAAAACTGTCCATAGCAGCGTGGTAGAAAAAGTGTCTATAAATAATCATTATAGTTACAAAAATGTTCCACCTCAACTAACTACAGCCGCTTTTTTATTATTATGTTAAATAATAACGCAATAATTCAATATACTGTATATCCGAGCCACACCGGCCATTTTTCAACTTTTACTAACTTGACCTCATTCCCTGTGTATCTTTAGAGGTGTTTTTACGTGTACTTTTACAGCAGTGCAGGATATGAATACTTCCTCTGGTGTCTGGAGGCCTTTTTTCGGTCCACATAACACACATGTCGCTCCGTCTCGAGTCTAAACTTAGCGTCGCACCTTCACCCCGACTCTCTTAATATGGCAGCTGTCGACGGAGCGGCCGTTTGGCATTAGGAAACCGGTTTGAGCTCGCTCTCTCCAGATCAGATTTCAGATTTCGAGTCTAAGGGTGTTTCTCAATGTCGAGGACGCTTCCTTGGTAGGACAAGTCCCTCCGAGTCAGGTCCTTCAGAAGCGAGGCAAGAATCCTTCCTAGCCTCGGAAAACGAAGAATGGTGGAACAGGCTAACAGGTGTGCAGGTGTGCGTCATATGAGAGGCCCCGCCTTAAATGGAGCGCGATTTCCGCCAAAGATTTGGGAAATTGGTCCGTGCGCAAAGCATTGTGGGGATTTTAAGACCACGGAGGATACACATGTGTATCCTCGAAATTTCCCGCAACGAAGGACGCCGGGCTCGGGAGAATTCCAAGCATCCTGGACATTGGAACAGTCCTTCGGCGGGACTCGAGGACGTAGCATCCTTGAAATAGTGGCTCTGGAGCATCCTTCCTTGACATTAAGAAACACCCTCTATTTCTGTCTTTGGCTTCGTGGAAGTTCATCCTGGTTTCAAAGTGCTACACGGGGACAGAGGCTTCCACAAAGCTATGATGTTTGTAATATCTGACACGGGATCAAGTTGTGTTTCCAGAAAAGCAGGAGAGGACTCTTTAAAGTAGAGACACTATGTACTGATATACACCTGAACATCAGCAGGAGAGGACTCTTTAAAGTAGAGACACTAGATACTGATATACACCTGAACATCAGCAGGAGAGGACTCTTTAAAGTAGAGACACTACATACTGATATACACCTGAACATCATCAGGAGAGGACTCTTTAAAGTAGAGACACTACATACTGATATACACCTGAACATCAGCAGGAGAGGACTCTTTAAAGTAGAGACACTAGATACTGATATACACCTGAACATCAGCAGGAGAGGACTCTTTAAAGTAGAGACACTACATACTGATATACACCTGAACATCAGCAGGAGAGGACTCTTTAAAGTAGAGACACTACATACTGATATACACCTGAACATCAGCAGGAGAGGACTCTTTAAAGTAGAGACACGACATACTGATATACACCTGAACATCAGCAGGAGAGGACTCTTTAAAGTAGAGACACTACATACTGATATACACCTGAACATCAGCAGGAGAGGACTCTTTAAAGTAGAGACTCTACATACTGATATACACCTGAACATCAGCAGGAGAGGACTCTTTAAAGTAGAGACACTACATACTGATATACACCTAAACATCAGCAGGAGAGGACTCTTTAAAGTAGAGACACTACATACTGATATACACCTGAACATCAGCAGGAGAGGACTCTTTAAAGTAGAGACTCTACATACTGATATACACCTGAACATCAGCAGGAGAGGACTCTTTAAAGTAGAGACACTACATACTGATATACACCTGAACATCAGCAGGAGAGGACTCTTTAAAGTAGAGACACTAGATACTGATATACACCTGAGAATAAGCAGAATATGGCCTCTTTAAAACATATATTTAAAAAAAGGAATAAATAAAATATAGTAATAGTTTCAAACCATAATGACCAAAATAAACCGCAGAGACAGGTGATCTGTTTGTCATGACGTTAGTTTTATTGCCTTTGTTAAAGTCAGTGTTTAATGAGCACAGTGATCACAGTGGCTTACAGCATGAGACCCTCGCAGGGGTCAAAGGTCAATGAAACAGGTGACGTCCTCAGGGCTCAACGTTAACTCTCATCATCCACAAGTCTGCATCTTTTTTCTTTTGACTGGAGACTCGTTAACGTGGAGCCCCGAGTGTCATTAGTACACATCTAGTAATTAATTAAGCTACTTTTTAATCACCTTGTAATTGATTGTCTCTAGTCTACAGTTATGCTTGTATGGAAGACTGGAGCGTTACAGGAAGTCACACAGACACACAGGTACACAGGAAAGGGTGGACGGCGGGACGGATGAATTTGGGCTGGAAACACAAAAACATAACAAAATCATCTTCAGCACCAACGTGAGAGCAGATCAAATGTTTGTTTAGAAGCTAGTATAAAAATAAATGGGATAGAATCATAAAAAATCCTAATTTTTAAAGAAATTTGTAAAAAAAATGTAAAATCGTAAAATTCTTCCACTTAGAATCTGCTAAATTTTGGAATAACTTTTTTTTGTATTACTTAAAAAATACATTTTCTATATTGGTTTATTTTGCCCATACATGTCATTTAATCAAAATGAAAAACCTTTTCTTCATAGCGTGTAATTAAAACAAAACAAATAATGTCTTATTAACTAAACTGATTGGACTACACTTCCCATAATGCATTGGGAGTTGTATACACCAACTATAATGTTAGCAACTTTTGGCAAAACGTTTTTTATTTTATCATTACGTTTTCATCAACTTAATTTGGCTCAACAGGAACATCGGATGTAAGGTCAGTACGTTTGTTAATTTCCGATGAATTTTGTGGTGTTTTCGTTAAAAGAAAATGTGTATTTTAAGGTTTCGAGCCCAAACCCGATGACTGGTTCATCTGATCCGACCTCAGTTTCCCGAAAAACTTGAAGGTAAGAACGTTATTTTATAATCACGATCAAATATGTTTTTGTATTTCAGAAACTGAACAGAAACAAACAAAAACAAATCCTTTTTGTCCCTTTTGAGCTTCCATATTGTCTTTATTTTGGAGGTTAAAAAAACACTTTGGCAATGTTTT